CAAGATAATAGGCTTTTGCACAGCAAAGGAAACCATCAACGAAATGAAATGGTAACCTAATGAATGGAAGAAGATATTTGCAAATAATATCTCTCATAAAGGAGATATTCAAAATATATAAATTTAAAATACATAGATATATTATTTAAATTATATTTAAGATATATAAAGAACTTATGCAACACAACAACAGGAAAGACAAATAATCTGATTTAAACATGGGCAGAGGACCTGAAGAGCCATTTTTCCAAAGAAGACATTCAGATGGCCAACAGAACATGAAAAGATTCTCAACATCAGTAATCATGAGAGAAATGCAAATCAAGACCATAATGAGAAAATGCCTTACACCTGTCAGAATGGCTAGAATCAAAAAGACAAGAAATAACAAGTGGTGGTGAGGATGTGTAAAAAAGGAACCCTCATGCACTGTTAGTGAGGATGTAAAATGGTGCAATCCCTGTGGAAAACATTATGGTTTCTCAAAAAATTAAAAATAGAAATACCCTATGACCCAATTATTCCACTACTGGGTATTTACCCAAAAAACCCAAAAACACTAACTTGAAAAGATACATGGACTTCTGTGTTTATTTGAGCATTATTTATAAAGAGCCAAGATATGGCAACAACCCAAGTATCCACCAATAAAAGAATAGATACAGAAGATATGGTACATATATACAATGGAGTATCACTCAGCCATTAAAAAGAATGAGATCTTGCCATTTGCAACAACATGGGTGGACCTAGAGGGAGTTATGCTAAGTGAAATAAGTCAGACAAAGACAAATACCGTACGATTTCACTTATATGTGGAATGTAAAAAACCAAAACAAACACAAACAACAACAAAACCCCAGACTCCTAAACACAGAGCACTGGTGTCCCATCACCACCTGAAACTGCGAAGAGTGAACTGTCCCCAGCCACTCAGGCCCACGAGCACTTGGTTTTATCAGTGAGCACCCCCATGCAGACCTTGAAAGGGAGGTGTTAGTTACATCGAATCTGAAAAGGCACAGGAAAAGGCAGTTACTAAACATTGTTTTAAAGGTATAACCAGGTTCCTGACAGATGGTGACAGAAGCTGCAAATAAAAAGAGTAGATCTAACAAACTCATCCCTGATTATTTTAATATAAATATTAATACTAATACATTAAATAGAAATGAAAATCCTGGACAAATGCTAAGTAGGTGCAAATGCGGCCTGTTTAAGCTAACCTGGGACACACCCAGACACACACATAAACACACACACACAGGAGCAATAGGCTCTTAATTGAATTGGGCTCCCTCAACCCATTCTTCCTTCCATTCTAAGCCTTCCCCCCACCAAAAAAAAAAAAAAAAAAAAAAAATCAAAAGGGCAAATTGTAATAAAATGTCTCTTGTACTGATCAGATGAAGATTTGCCTTGCACCCAGAAAAATCACGTATCTATTCTGTGGGTTTAGTATATTCTTATGGTAAAAAGTTTTTCAGGCTTGCTGGCACTAGCCATTATAATCATCCATCTAACGTCTTTGGCTCACAATAACTATCTGATTATAATATTGCTTCCCACACATATTTGCCCCAGGAAAAGAATACGCTGATCAGCAAACCTGAGTATCTTTTCTTCTCGATAACGTAATTCTTATTCTGAAATAACAAATTGCCTTTCTGGTTTTATAAACAGTCTAACAAAAACACTTTGAATGTATTTTCCTTTTGGATATTGCCCTATATCTTTTCCTGTTACAGTCTATTCTAGGAAGAATAGTCTTTGTCTCTGATTCAACATCAATTCATTCATTCAACAAACGTTTGTAGAGAACTTAATACATGAAGGAAGAAGGCTTCTAGCTTTACATTTAGTGAACTGTCAAAATAGGACCAAGTTCTGTGTACTTTTCACTCTCTTACAACTTCCTTAGATTTGGAAATCTTTTCAAGGCATGCAAAGAGAGTGAACAGAGTGTTCAATTACTTGAATACTTAAGAATTTTTACATTTAGTTCAATGACAAATTGACTGTTATTGAAATTATAATTTTAAATGATGAAGAAATTAACCAGAAAAATCGATCACTAATAATCGCTTGATATATTTTTCTATTTTCTTTTAAACTTTCCAACCTAGAGTACTATGTAAATAAAATCTCATTTCCACCCAATTCTGAACCATGCCTCTTTGTTTAAACTGACCCACTCAATGACCCAATTGTAATACATTGATGCTGAAGAAAATCCAAGGTATAAAAAGTAAAGTTGAATATGATTTGGGCTACATTTCTTTGGAATTTATTTTCTTTCCATACCACCTGGGACCTTTAAACCTTCTAGCCCACTAGGTTTTTAATCCCTTCGGTGTTTCTGCTCAAACTCAGTATGCATGCAAATCACTCGAGTATCTTGTTAAATAAAAATTATGATTCAGCAAGTCTGGGGTGGAATCTGAGATTCTACGCTTCTGACAAGCTTCCAGGAGAGATGGATACTGCTGATCCAGGGGACACATTTGAGTAGCAAGATCCTGGAAGACAGACAAAGCTATTAATAACTTGGCAAGTGTTATAATGAGAATTCTTACAAATAAGAATATGTGCAAATTGTGATAAATAATCTTGGTAATATGTAACGATTTGTCTTTAGGGCCTAAACAGTGGGCCCAGCACTGCCCAGGGATGCAGAATCATTGAAATGAGCCTGTTGCTTTAAAAACTGAGCATTAACCAAAATTACAACAAACCAGTAAGTTACTCATTCTGAGTAATAGGTATTTAGGTATGTGCAATTGTGTTAATTAGTGTAAGTGATAAATGTATAGCTTATCGAAGTTTCTTAGCTGCAAATGCAACACTCAACTTGCATACCCTGCTTGTGGAAATTATTTTAAACACAGAAAACAGTCAAGAATTTGAGAACCACAGCATTATTAATGTCCACGTGTGTATTCTTGTTCCATTACGAACTGTTTAACATATTACTATTAAGGTTTTTACTTTTCCTTGTGATATAATTATTATACATTGAAAAGAAAAGTTCTATGTGTAACATAACTTTCAAAAATATCTATATCCGGGGCACCTGGGTGGCTCAGTCGGTTAAGCTTCTGCCTTCAGCTCAGGTCATGATCCTGGGTCCTGGGATTAAGCCCCGTGTCAGACTCCCAGCTCAGTGGGAAGCCTGCTTCTCTCTCTCCCTCTGCCTCTCCCCCTGTTTGTGCTGTCTCTCGCTTGCTCACTCTCTCTCTCAAATGAATAAAAAAAATCTTTAAAAAAAAATCTGTATCCTCCTTTTAAAAGAAAGTAACAAATCTAGTATAAAAGTACAAAATGTAAAATCATGAATGTAATGTTTTATCATCAATTAATTGTTGATTGAAGTGTTCAGGATTTTTCAGACACGTACTGCTTCTTCCACCTCTCAGTAGCACCTTGAAATGCTCTGATATTGCCCTGCTGTATTGAGAAAGGGGGCATTTAAAAAGCTCAGTTAATCTATTTTTATGGTAATCAGAACCCTCAATTTCAATCTGATTTTTTTAGTCAAAGCAGTCTCATTTACATGAGTACAATAAATGTTTTGAAGTGTGGCTAGGATCATTTCCATAATTCTATATTTCTTATCTTGCCTTAGTCTTCTTGAACCTGACATTTTGCTATAATTTGCAAAACTGAACTCCATTCAGAAACAAAAAAAAAATCCTTGGTAGAAAAAGGGAAAATCAAGAAGACAGGCACCACCTTTAATGCAGCTTTTCTCTTTCATCATTAACCCAATGGGCAGGAAGAAAAGCTCACAAAGTAGTTCACCATAAGTGCAGGACTGATTAATTTGCTAGAAATAGACATCATTTTCATCCAAGTTCAGATTGGCTCCCACCAAGTTCTGTGTGATTTCACTTGGAAATGGAACCAACGACAAGTAGCTACATGCCTGAGCTGAATCCCAAAATTACTCCTGTGCCATCGCTCTCCCGGTTTGTCTGGGACACTCTTACAAACATAACGAGAAAAAGGTTGCCAATACCAACAGCACTACTAAAACACTTTAAAAATGTTTCTTCAAAAATAAATAAATAAATACAACGTTTCTTCGAATTTGTGTGTTTCACAACCACCTCTAGATACTATTTTTCCAAACAAGAGTCTTACTCTGTGTCTTGGCATTTTAGCAAGGATTTGTGTCATGTTCAATTATGAATGTGTTCATTTCATTGAGAGGATTGAATAAATCATATGCTCAGTTGATGAAAGCACTTTCTTGTTTAAAGAAGCAGATTGACATAAAATACTTCAGTAAGTCACTTATCTATATTTCACTGACTTTGAAATTTGTGTCAGGAACTTCAGTTTATCTACAGGGGCTGTATCCTTATTTATCAGGGTTTTTTTTTCGCCCCTGATAAGGCAGTCTTACCAGATAAAGTCAAATACTATTTCCATGCAGCTTTTTCTTACACCCCGAAAAGCAAGCCCTTAGGGAAGTGAAGTAAAAGTGTGCCTCCGAAAGCCACATCCTCTGTGGATGACTTTTAGAGGAAGCACTTTCTAGTTTATAAATCGAAGCCGGACACTTAGAGCCCTGGGAGATAAAACGGCAGAACCTACCAGTCTCGTGGCATCTGAAACCACAGTCTGTACCTGTCACTTATCGTTTTGTAAATGGACTAAAAATAAAAGACTGATGGGTTGTGTGAAATCCATAATTTCTGTTAATGGTCCACTAAGAAGCTGTGTGTTTAGGACACTTCATGTCACTCAATGGCTCCCGGCCCCCCAGCTGCTGCCTTTTTTTTTTTTTTTTAAGATTTTTATTTATTTGAGAGAGAGAGAGAGAGAATGAGCAGTGGGAATGGGCAGAGGGAGAGGGAGAGAGAGAAGCAGACTCCCTGCTGAGCAGGAAGCCCAACATGGGACTCAATCCCAGGACCCCAGGATTGTGACCTGAGCTGAAGGCAGCTGCCCAACCAACTGAGCCACTCAGGCGCCTCCCCCTGCTGCCTTAAAGACAGGTCTTAGAGCACTTGTTTAGTCCTTTTTTCCTATTTTGACTCTGAAGTAAAATAATAAGTGTGCTTATTACATTTAGTTTCTTTCTATACAGACACCTAGCACATGATTTTGCTTTCTAACTTCACACTTAACTCCCTGAAAACATCCATGTATGCATATCAGTGTTCTTTCTAGTTTCAGAGGCTGAGTTTATGTCCAGAATGAATGCTAATATATATTGTTGTCTGGATACTAGGGCCCCATCCTTCACTATTCCTCTCTCTCTCTTTCTTCTGTCTCTCCCCTCCCTCTCTCTCCCTCCCTCTCTTACCCTAACTCTCCATCCATCCCTCTATCTCATCTCGGTCTTTCCCTCTGTCCTGTGTTTTCAATTCCTTCAGTTCCACCTGCTCTTTCTTTTTAGACTCTTTCCTTTCAGAACATAAATACTCCCAGTCTCTTGTTCTAAAAATAATATCCTATAACTGTCTTCTCTTTCCTTCCTTTCAAAACCAAACTTCTTGATGAAGTAGAGCACTCCCCACTCCATTTCCTCGCCTCTAATTCCATCAAGGGCCTACTGCAATTTGGCCTCTGCTCACACAACTCCTCAAGGCACCAAAGAGGTCAGTAACTCCCTCTCACTGAACAGTTCCCAGGCAGGATTTTACTTGGAGTTTGTGGCATTTAATCGAGTTGACTCTTCCCTTCCTATATGCATTCCTTCCTTGGCTTCTCTTTTTTGTTTCTACATTTCCTTCTTTCTCTCACTACTTTTGAACCACAAATACTTAAGTAAAATTATGTGCAGTGTTGAGCATATTCTTACATTTAAAAGGAAAATAAATGCCAATCTGATTGTACAGGAAAAGGTTTCAAATTGCCCAGACCCTAAAATTATGTATGAAAAGCAGTCATTATCTATACTTCAAATTAGCTAAATACATAAAACTATAACTTTATCTTCATTTATCAGCATAGGAAAAACTACTTTGTTCTACGCACGGATCCTCGGGTGACTGGACTGACCTGACCAGGAGAAAGCCCTTGGTAGGAAGGCACAATGCTAACTCTCTCAACATCATATGACTACAGAGAACAGGTGTCAAGAGTCTCAACTGTGTGAGTTTTCTGTTTCTCAAAAACAAAGATTCAAAGTTACTTATCTGAAACCAGTTTTTAAAAAGCAACTTAATCCTTCTGTTTCTGCTAAATTCTATATTCATTTTTCACGGGCAAAGATGTGTTCGTTTCTTAGGGCTGTTGTAACAAAGTACCAAAACCTGGGCTACTTAAAGCAACAGAAATTTATTCTCTCACAATACCGTAAGCCAGAAGTTCAAAGTCAAGGAGTTAGCAAGCAGGGCCATATGCTCTCTGAAGGCTCTGGGGAAGAATCCCTCCTTTTCTCGTCTAGTTCCGAGAGGTTGCCAGCAATCCTTGGGGGTCCCTGGCTTGTACACCTGTCACTCTAATCTCTGCCTCTGTCTTTGCATCTCTTCTCCCTTGTGTGTCTCTGTGTCCAAATTTCCCTCTCAAAAGGACACCAGATATATTGGCTTTAGGGCCCACCTTAATCCAGTATGACCTCACCTTAAGTTGATTACGTCTGCAAAGACCCTATCCCCAAATAAGGTCCATTCACAGGTTGTAAAAGCATTTTGGGGAAATGCTTTTCAGCCCAGTATAAATGGAAAACCAAAAATTGTTATTTTGGAAAATAAAAAGGGGAAAGGAATTTATTATTGTTTTTAAATAATCACATATTATGTTACTTTTCTTCCTCTGCAAACCTTACTAAAACAATAATAAAGGAATAAAGCAATCAAAAAGAGATACCATAAAAAACACCACCCCCAAAAAAAATCCATAGGAAGGAGAGATAATACAGGCTCTATTCTTTTTAAATGTGAAAATTATATTGTCCAATAGATATATGATTAGGATGCTGTGAAAAGGAAAAATCAGAGTACAAAATTACGATAGAAATAACATTATAAAAGGAAAGATAAATCCCAGGACCAAAAGTAAAACAAAAAACAAAGAGTTAGAAGTATAGAAAAGAAAATTAGTAGATAAGTCCATGGGGGTTTATAGTCCACTTAATAAGAATTATAGACAGAGAAAACAGAACAGAATGAACTATCAAGAAAACAATTTTTTTTAGACACAAGGGACATAAATCCCCAAGCTGAATGTGTCTAGCACAATTAGGCAATAGAAAAAAATGAAAGAAGACCCCATGAAACACATGAAATGTGAAATTTCAAAATAACAGCTATAAAGTAGAAAACATAAAGTTTCCAGAGAAAAATCACAAAGATCACCTATAAGAGATAGCAACGCAGAATTGTATTAGCCTTCTCAGAACAATAGTGAATGACAGAAGACCTTGGAGAAGTATCTTAAAAAGTCTTAATGTAAATGACATTTGATGAACAACTCTGTATTTAGCCAAGCTACTGATCAAGAATGAGATTGAAAAAAAGACATTTTTAGGAATGCAAGGACTCAAACATATATATGTACCTTCCAGGCACTCACTCGTGGGAAGATACTGGAGGATATGCTGTAACAAACGATGGGGCAAATTAGGAAAGAGGCAGATGTAGGATAGAGCAAACAGTGAATCAAACCAGAAAAATGGCCAAATTTTTGAGGATGACAAGGAAGGGAAATATGAGGACAACAGGCTGTCCGGGGAGCCTCAGGGCAACCAGCCCACACTGGATGAGGAAAACAGAGATTACAGTGAGAGGTTCTTGATATATTACTAATTCAAAGGAAAAGTCCAAATGGCATAAATTATTATGGAATAAAGGAATGTTCAGATGAATTGCAAATGGAGACAAAATAGTTTTCCACAGTGGGCAGGAAATCAATTAAATCACTACCCTGTGAGACAGAATTTACTTCTCACTCAGTTCCCTACAACTTACAAAGAGCTCCAAATCAGCTCAAAGAAAAGTAAAAGGGCTAGAACATGATAACCCAAGGGGTATATTATAAAAGATACACAGTTTTCCATGGAAACGCAGGAAAAATTTTTCTGCACATTAAATGATGAATACGTTAATTTTGTGAAGTAGGTGTTCTATGCAGAGGAAGAATCTCAAGCTAACAAACTGGTTACTTAATTTATATTTCCATAGTTGGCAAAGGCATAATTAGGACCGTAAATTGTACATGCCTACGTGTGTGTGTGTATGTGTGTGTGTGTGTGTTTTCATGATTCCCCCTTGATAGTCCAAATTGTGATTTTCTTTCTGTAAATTTCAAAAGGTGATGACAAGTTCGTGTGGCTTATTTTTTTCAAAGTTGATATTGACAACTTATCAACTAGGACCCACTTGAAGTAAAATAATTTTGCTTTTCAGGGTCTTTACCTACAGTGAATATGGCCATAATTTCTTCTAGTTGCTTCTCAAAAGGGGAGGCAATTTAAGAACAGCCAGGGAAGGAGTATGTGTGTGGGTTTCCTCGTGTATAATTACCATGCGCCCCCCCTCCCGTCTTTGTAAATTCTGTCTCCTCCACTGTGTTTGCCCTTACTAGTCTGATTCTGACGTCCTAGCTCTGGTCTGAACCTGGCTGTACTTTGCTAACTTTGGGCACAGACTTGCTGTAACTAGTTTATACAAAGGAGGCAAGGGCCAGAGGGACTGTGCTGGTCTCTCTCACCCTTGTGCAATTTAGTTCTGGTGATATTTATAATTATCAGGCAATCTTTACAACAGCCAGTAGGGTCAAATGGCATCCCTTCCAACCTATACCTTTCCCTAGGAAATCACAGAAGCTCCTCCACATTCATACAGTGTGCTGGGGGCAGGGGGCTGTTGGGATAACCAGGTGCTTGTAGTAAGATAGACTCTAAAACTATGACAACCATTAAAAAAAAAAAAAAGCAGAGAATATATTTTTAAAAGGATATTAAAGATCCTTTGAAAGAAAGGGAAGCAAGGGGTCCCTGGGTGGCTCAGTTGGTTAACCATCTGACTGTTGATTTCAGCTCAGGTCTTGAGATCAAGCCTCATGTCAGACTCTAAGCTCACGACAGAAGTCGGGTGGAGAGTCTCTCTCCCTCTGCCCCTCCCCCCACTTGGGTGTGCCTGCTCTCTGTAAATGGGTAAAATCTTGAAAGAAAGAAAGAAAGAAAGAAAGAAAGAAAGAAAGAAAGAAAGAAAGAAAGAAAGAGAAAGAAAGAAAGAAAGAAAGAAAGAAAGAAAGAAAGAAAGAAAGAAAGAAAGAGAAGCAAGGATATGTATGGTCAATTTTGTCCTCAAGTTCTCCTGTTTAGTCCTTCCAGAGAGTTATTGTGTATCTATTACATGCTCAAGTCATAATTGTATCAGGTAACTCAGAGGTTATCAGCATCTTGGGAAACTAGTCCAAATGAATCACCAGAGATAAATAAAATGAGATGTAGAAGTTTTAATTGGGGCTTTCTAAAAATTTGCGAAGATTATATTGTTTGTAATATATAGTCATGGTAAAGAGAGTTGGGTGATTTCAGGAAATAATGTCCTCAAACTCCTACATTCAGCCATTTACTTCTGTTCGTCAAGGAAACTGCCTGGGAAGCAGGAAGATACAAAAACAGAATCTACGCACAGCTTCTTTTTATAGACTCCATGAAATCAGTGTCCTTACACTGTAACAATATTAACCTCAAATATTTAAAAATTATATTAGTTGTCTAAGAATGAGATGGTAGCTTTAAATAGTCAACATCCATTTCGGAAAATCTTTTAGTCACTTGAGATACTTGATAGGTATCTTAGATTTGGGTGTTAGTGGGTTTTCTAGGCAGCTGCGAAGGTGATGAACAGGTGAAACAGAGATAATCTTCAGTGTTTGCTGTTTTTTAACTGGTAAATTTTGGGATTACGTGCCACACAGTAATAGATAACTGAGTACTTTGTGCTATGTCAGTATTATCTTGAATATTTAAAAAATCAGATGGCAGCTTACGAGACATCAGTTGTCTAGTAAAATAGTATATTACTAGTCAACATTAGCCGCTATAATTACCTTGTTTGATTTGAAAAATCCTTAATCTATTTAAAGGAAATACCTGATAAATATCTTGATCCTTAATCTATTTAAAGGAACACCTGATAAATATCTTGGACTTTAGGTCTATTTGGAAAGTATAACAACTCATCTATTTAAAACTTTCCATCAAACTTCCATAGGTATTAAAATACTATGTCCTATGCCAGAGCAAAAGGATATCAACTCAACCTGATACTAAGAAATTGTATAATAACTTTATTTGGGCTCATATTTGGGGAACAAGTAGATTCAGGCCTTAAAACAGCATATGTATAAGAAAAGGGTTTTCTTAATTTGGGTATCAATTGATTGATACCTTTGAAGATAATTTCACCCTGTTTTTTTTTTTTTTTAAGATTTTATTTATTTATTTGAGAGAGAGAGAATGAGAGACAGAGAGCATGAGAGGGAGGAGGGTCAGAGGGAGAAGCAGACTCCCTGCCGAGCAGGGAGCCCGATGCGGGACTCGATCCCGGGACTCCAGGATCATGACCTGAACCGAAGGCAGTCGCTTAACCAACTGAGCCACCCAGGCGCCCAATTTCACCCTGTTTTTGAGGTGGGCCCACTTACATTCAATTTTGGGTCAGTTCCAATTGATGGATTAAGGAGGGTTGCTTTAAAAAGTTTTTTTATATTATATGTAATCCCATTCTAACTTTCTGTAAGTAATCACGTAAGGAAAGAAAGTATTTTGGAACTAAGTGATAGGCCACAGTTTAAAAATGCTTATCTTATTATTCAAATCACTTATGTTTTCAGTTCATAAATACTTTGATTATTGATCAGTGATGGTTCAGCTGTAACAGCCAAAGATTTATATTGATAATGGTAAATATTTTGATTTATCATTTCTTTTAAATATTGTATTATTTTATTGTGGTGTGAGTTTAACTAATACCAGGCAAAGAAACATACTCACTTTAGAACTATAAATGTCAATATCCCAATTCAATGTGACTTAAAAAAAATAAAGGAATTTAAATTAGAGATCAAGTATATCATTTGAGTTTTTCACACAAAACAGTGGCATCTAGTGGTCTACAAAAATCCTCCTCCTAACTGTTTCTAACTTCTCTTTGCTATTAGTTTGAATCAGGTGTTATTTGCCTATAGCTGGTTCAACTGCTAGTGAGGTTTACTAGGATCGCTTGCTGTAGAGATTCAGACTTTTATAATATTAAATTGATCTTTATTAGTAGTTGTGCATGTAACCTAATGTCCACAGTGCTGTTCTTTCTAAAGAAGTTACTCTAGTAGAGATCTTTATATGTAGATGGTGCTAATACTCAATAACTGCTACAAAATTAAATTACTTTTAAGACATCAAACAAAAGACTACCTTAGAACAAAGGGCTATAAAAAGAGATTCACCTTTGGAGGCAATGAAATTCGCCTTTTTATCTCTAAAGCGGAAAGGAGTAATGTAAGCTATTTTATCACCACTTGGCATTAATAGTATGGATATGCTTTCACTTACTGCCTAGTACTGGACACCTGACCACAACATATTCCTGTTTTAAACTTTCTTAAATAGTGCTCATTATAAGAAAGATATTGACATTATCTGTATTTATTATGACCGAGTATGGCATGCACCAATTTGGTTTAGGAAAGGTAAATAAAATATTGTCTTTTATATGTAAATGCATTAATTAGTAAAAATAGAATATATTTTTTTCATACTCACACTTGTATATGTATTTACCTGCATGACCAATAGAAGATAACGTGAGACTGCTTAAAAGTTTTAAATACAGGGATTTAATTTTTGTTTGATAGCATTCTGTTCACTCACACGAATGCTACATGTAAAACTCAAATATCGCTATCACTGTGCACCAACTCTGAAAACAATTTTAAATAATTCTAACTGAAAAGGAACTCAAAGGTGTGTTGGGTGGCAATTATTAGCTTAAATTCATATTCACATCTAGCTCCACATTTACTGTATGAAACAAGAACTTTGTAATATTCTCCTTCTTGATCTGGAGGCTGCTTACATGGTGTAAATTCAATGCGCTCTATACCCATGATTTGCATATGCATTTACGCATAACTTGTATATTACATGAAAATAACATTTACACTGAAAAAACTAGGGGATCCAGAAATTGATCCTTTTTTTTAGAAAGTTCTTGACATATATAAGCACTATTTGAAACTTGCAGGCTTAATGGCAATTTTTAATTGAAAGAATTATTACAATCTTTTAAAAATATCAACATTTTCCTATCAGTATAATTCACTTGCTTTATTATTTTTTTTAAGATTTTTTATTTTAGAGAGAGAGTGAGTGTGAGCAGGTGGGGAGGGGCAGAGGGAGAAAGAGAGAGAGAATCCCAAGCAGGCTCCATTCTCAGTGCAGAGCCCAACTAGGGGCTTGATCTCAGGACTCTGAGATCATGATCTGAGCAGAGACCAAGAGTCGGACACCTAACTGACTGAGCCACCCAGGCAACCCTGCTGTCAGTATAATTTAAACAGATACTTGATACAGTTGACCCTTGAACATGGGTTTAAACTGCATGGGTCCATGTGTATGTGGATGTTTTGCAGTACTGTAAATGTATTTTCTCTTCTTTATGATTTTCTTAACATCTCCTATTCTCTAGCTTACTTTATTGTATGAATATAGTATGTAATATATGTAATACAACAAATATATTGATTGTTTATGTTATTGGTAAGGTTTCTGGTCAATAGCAGGCTATTAGTAGTTAAGTATTTGAGGAGTCAAAAGTTATACATGGATTTTCCATTGCACGGTGGGGGAGGTGCCCCAAACCCCATGTTGTTCAAGGGTCAACTGTATTTGTCTTCATACTTTCCTTATAGAGAATAACTCAATTACTTATATGAAAAATAACTCATAGATCTTTTAACATTAACCTATCCCTAGAATTTAGAATGATTCATTTAGGTAACTAACACCAGACTGTAACCAAAGTTTGAGATTTTAAATTACTTACGTTGGCTCATTTATTCTTCAGTTATCTTTAAGGTAAGTAATTACTCAGTAATAGCTAAAAATAACACTTAATGCCAAAACAAGTTTTCTAACAGTGATATTTTATTTGTAAATCTGTGTAGATCTCACAACTAATTCACATAAAAATATTTTTCTCTTTAGTTGGTACTGAAAACAGGAGAAACAGAAATGAAAAAAAAAATCCTCGCTGCAGGAATTCAAACTAAACCGTATGAGGTAAAATATTACTTTATGATTAAATATTGAAAAGTCATAAAATTCATCTTAATCATTAACATCCTAAACATCAAACAGATTGAAAGGTATAATTAGAAAAGATATATAGTATCAGGTAGTTTCTAATTTGGGAAAAATAATTTAGGAAATGACTCAAACTCTGAGCTGTAAATATTCATAATAATGAGCTGATGGTCTGAAATGTCTATTTTCATACCATTCCACAATTATAAGCCAATTATTAATTTTATATCCATTTTTAAATTAACAACTAAGAAATAATACCCTGTATGACTCCTTTTTTCTTCTAATTAAAAATGTACCTAAAATTACTCTAAAATAGTGAAGCATAGGGGGTACTCCTTGCTAAGAAGAAACAAATTCCATTGGTGTTTAGGAGACATTAACCTTCAAATCTGCTGATGTAGGTAGAAGGGGTTTATCAAACACTTTTCACATGTCTCCTTGGAGTTTCCTGGCCTTGGCAAGCTTTCAGACCCACCACAGCCATCACTGCAAAATGTGGGGTCTGGCTTCCTGACAGGCTGCCATAGGGACTAGGTAACACAACATGGAGGTGCGCTGTAAATTCTTCTCACGGGGCAAACTTTGACTAATGATTGGTAAGAGATACAAAGAAGACAGCAGACAATTTCTTCTCTATTCCTCCTGCCAAAGGACCGTTCTGTTACATAGGCTTTCCAAACATGTCCTTTCAAGGCTTGTCAGAGAGTGGCAGCCAGCTCAGCAACACATCACCTTTTATTTTCTTCCCAACTCTCTTTGCCTTTCTTCTTCTTTCTCTCCCTCTTGGTGCCCTGGGATTGTCTTTTCAATTAACTAACATGTTAATGTATAGGTATTGTCTCAGCATCTTTTTTTCTTTTTTTCTAAAGATCCCAAACCAAGATAGGAATTCTTTGAGTTCAAGTTATATAAGAAAATAATGATATTACCATTGTAATCCATAAAAATAATATCCTTAATAGTGAAATGGAATCTTTAGGCTTTAATATATAACTATATTTAAATTGCATCCTCCACTTTCGTCAAATATACCTTCACAGAGTAGGCATTTATTGAGCTAGTTTTGAACATTTAAACTTGAGGTGACTATCGGACACCCAAGTAGAGATATAGAGAAGGCTGTTGGTTATGAGTCTGGATTTCAGAAGAGAGATCCAGGATGGAAATATAAATGTAGGAATCATAGCTTATAGATGGTATATCATATGATGAGATTGAAAGAGATTTTCTAAGCACTAAGATTGATAAAGAGAGATGATCCCAAAAGGACCAAGCTCTAGAAAACTCTCACATTTTAGTCAGGAAATGAAGAGGAAACAGTAAAGAGTCTGAGATATTGTCCAAAGAGGTAAAGGAATAACCCAGAGAGTGTAATGTTTTGGATGCTAAGAGAAAAAAGAATGTTTAAAAGGGAAGAAAATCAGCCACTGGGTTCAATGATACTGATAGTCAAATAAGAAAAAAAAATGACTGAGAATACAGACTGAATATTACAGTGAACAGGAGATTTTTGCACAGTGAAGGAGATGAAAAGTTGATTAGAATAGATTCAAGAGGGTATGAGAGGAGGAAATGTAGCTACATAGACAGCTTATTCAAAGAATTTTGGTATAGAGGGAAAGAAAGAAATTGGATGTAAACAGGAGGCCATGATGCTACACGAAGGTTTTTTCAAAAATAATTTTGAAAAAATAGTATTGTTATATACTAAAAGGAATGACCCAAAAGAGAAATTAAAATGGATGATTCAAGGGAGAAAGAGCACTATCTCTGAGGATGTGAGAGGAGATGGCATCAAGAGGACAATTGAAACCTGGCCCACAATAACATAATGAGTAGTTCACCCACACTAAGAGGAATGAATACAAAGATTCAGATAGGTTTATACTTTACTGTTGTAAGCCAATGCTCAATCTTTTCTGGTTGCTTTTTTTTTCTTAATGAAATAAAGTCTAATTGTTACCCAAGAGTGAAGATTAAAAAAAGAATTGTTAAAAGCTTGAGAATAGAGCAGAAAGGCAGAAATATGTCTAGGTGAGAGAATGAATGGTTTATGGATTTATAATACAGTTATTAGCAGCATTAAGGATGATTTGAGTTATGGTTATGAACTTAAAGCAATACAAGAAAGTATGACTATATTTTTCTCTAGTTATGCTCAGCCATGGATGGAATTACACATAAGGAGTAGGCAGATAATTGGTTTTAGGTAGGGTTATGGATTAGCCATAAAAATAAAACAAATGAGAAAAGGATAGAGAATTGAGGATATAGACAAAAAAGTAATTATAATGCGTGAACATAAGATTTAAGCTAGGCACAGAGAAAAGATATAGGGAAGGTGGGAGAGAAAGAGGGTGGTATGCTCAATACATTGTAGGTGCTGGTGAGAGCAAATAATTTGGGGGTTTAGGGAATGATTAGGAAGGATTTGGGGTAGTATTGAAGAGAAGGATAAATACTATATAGGAGTTGTATTTATTGGTATTGAAAAGGTCATAGTATTGAGTGGCTGAGGAGGATGCAAAGGATCATTGGTAGGAGGTCCAGGAATTAAAAGGCCAGGGAGTTAAAAAGATCATCTACATGGATATAGCAATCAACAAAAAAATGTAATAGGAGCAATGTTGGAGAGCATGACAATGATCAAAGGAGCCAGTGATCCTTATTGAAAGAATAAGGGGGGATGACCTGACCCTGAGAGTTACAGATAGATCACTATAGCAAGGACAGATAATGGGTGACACAAACTGATGACACAAATTTGAAACCTGGGGACTTTTAGGGAAGAGAGAAGGAGAATGGACTGGAAGTGGCAAAGAGGAGGAGGCAGGATACCTATCACTTCTCCATGCCCAATTTAAGAAGAGAGTGGAAATGAAATTGGCCATCATTTGAGAAGATAAGTAAAGAAAGTCCTCTGGAAAAAAACAAAAAAACAGGTTTCCATTAAAGCTAGATGGTACAATGAGGGGTAACAGAAGAGACCGGGGCTATAGAAGAATTTGTGAATGTCCTACTGTGAATTTCAGTGGTCACAGCGAAAAGAAATGGGAAGAGTGGAATATGAGTTCAGAGAAGGCACCAGGCAGCATTATAGCCTAAATAATGTAGGTTTAGTCTTAATATTTCTAGGCAGAGGGTGGTGGCCAGACTGTGAGTAGGAGTGGGAGGTCTTGTGAGGAATAGGACTCACTCTGGGCCCCCACTATTCTCTTGCCACAGAAAAGCACAGATTTCTGCAGGCTAGAGTCTTACTGCTAGTGAAAGCTATCCCTCTTGATTTCTGTAGAAGGAAGCTTCCTGCCTGGCAGGGAAGCAATCCTACTATGAGCACAGGGCATCCATCATCCTTTCACTGCAAATAGAGGGGAATGTTCTTCCTTCAAGCACCTGGGCACCTTCTTGACTTCTGAAGGAGGCCCAGGGAAAGGACACAATATGAGTAAGAAAACCAGGAACTTGTTTGTGTCATGAGTTTAACAAGCTTTTCCTTTTCTATTTCATAGTTATTATTTTCTTTTTTTTTTTAAAGATTTTATTTATTTTTCAACAGAGAGAGAGAGACAGTGAGAGAGGGAACACAAGCAGGGGGTGTGGGAGAGGGAGAAGCAGGCTTCCCGCAGAGCAGGGAGCCTGATGTGGGGCTCGATCCCAGGACCCTGGGATCATGACCTGAGCCGAAGGCAGACACTTAACGACTGAGCCACCCAGGTGCCCCCATAGTTATTATTTTCATCTGCAAAAGTCTAAAGGTTGGATGGCAGCTCTTTTTTTCTCATCCCTGGTGACCTTTATTATGATTGTAGGAATGTACACTACCATGACATTACTATTTAATAAAAATTCATAGTATCTCTTGGAATTTATTATACCACGATTATAATTTCAATTAGTTTTGACTGAACTTTTAATAAATATGTCTGTTGTGGAGTCAATTTTCACTCTTGAAATTGGTATTAAGTACCCATCGTATACTAGTCATGCAGCCACAAACTGGGATACACTGAAGGAACCCACAGTCTAATAAGATTACACTTGAAAAGATAATTTTATTTCCCCTATGACATGATGGAGCTACATACAAGAGTCTGTGGGGGGTGGAGAGGTAAGATAGGTAACTCAATTTGAGATGCTTTATTTGAATCTGTAACAAGCGTTCTCACACTGTTTTCTGCCCTGGCTCATTTGACAGATGCAATATGTTCTTTTTCTATGGCAGCGGCTTTCTATTATAATGATTTTCAGTTAGGTGTGTGGAATGATGTGTTATTCTACAGGCAATGGATCAGAATGGCCAAGTAGACAGGGGGCTTAGATAGTTGGAAAACCCATCACCTCCCAGATGAGTATCTTCCATTCTAAAGACAGTTTTCTCCCACTCTGTGAGAATCTGCTTTGTAGGATAAGTAGTCTTAGATTGGGAAAGTGCATTTTAGGGGTATGGTTTGTGCAAAAAATAGGAGCAACTGGAGATGGGGGGGCACAGGTTGGGAGGGGGCTGTGGCAAGACATGAGGTGTGAGAAATAGGCAGACAACAGAACATGCATTAAATTGCATGGTTAAGAAGGTTTGGATTAATTTTTCTGAAGGTTATCAGGAATTATTGATGATTTTAAAACAATGCATGATATAATGAGGCATAAATTCTCAAAAGCTCATTCTGGTCATAGAGTAAGGACGAATTGGAGAACATTTAGAAATTGGAAGACTAGTTGAAGATATTGCCTATCCAAGCAAGCAACAGTAACAGACTAATGTAAGGCAGTGCTGATAGAAATGGAGAAAGAAGAATGGATTTGAAAACATATAGGAAGGAAATTGAGGGAGTGATGGCTTGGACGTGTGGTCACTGAAGAGAGAGGCAAAACAACTTAGTATTTTTTGAAGGTCTACTATGTGTTTCATTTTAGGTACTTTTATTTATGTTATCATTTACTCACACAAATCTGAGAATTTAGTGCTGCCCCAT